AATCAGTATAATCAAACACAGCTGGACTCAAATGAAGGAGTAGAACCATCTCAGGGATGATCAGATGAAATGGACAGAGCCTAAGTTAAATATATGAGTGTCACAGCAAAGGGTCTGAATACTTATGACCATGTGATATTTCAGTTTTTCTTTTTTAATAAATCTGCAAAAATGTCAAAAATTCTGTGTTTTTCTGTCAATATGGGGTGCTGTGTGTACATTAATGAGGAAAAACATGAACTTGAAGGATTTTAGCATATGGATGCAATATAACAAAAAGTGAAAAATTTAAGGGGGTCTGAATACTTTCTGTACCCACTGTATTTTTACCTGTAATGTAGTGTTACCAGAGAAATGGTTTTTAATTGCCAACATGTAATGACAGAGTTTTAGATGGAGTAAATTAGTTGTAGGAGCTCACCCAGGTGAGACAATACTAAAACATTTTATTTTGGATGATGTAATACACCAGGCTGGTATTTAATTTAATTTGTTTGGTGCCCTCATGCATAAAAAACAGACTGAATGGAAGAATACAAAGCACAGTGCAGACACCAGCCTCCTCTTCACAACAGTAAAATGTCTCCCTGTGGTTAACGAAACATAAGGGCTCGGTGAAAGTGAAAAATGACTAAAAGCGCAAGTGAGAATTGGTGTGAATATGAGTTTGTTACATGAGGACAGTGATGGAGAGACATCTGGAAATGAGGAATCAGCCAAACTGCCAAATCAGTGTCAGCAGTGCTTTTGATGGATGTCCTGTTACCATGGTTACCTGAGTGTGGTGCAGAGCCTCCACGACTGTAGAGGGGAGGAGCCTGGAAGGCGTAGATGACATCACTATCAGCAATTGCTGTCAGGTCGTCGTCATCTGAGAAGGAACGCTGGAAACCCGTGGAGTACAGCTCCGACAGGATGACCTGGAGAGACAGTGACAGAGTCATGAATAACTTGTGAAGATTTGACTCACAAAACTATATAATGATACTGCATGCAAGAAAATTAAGAGCAGAACATAGATACATTTGTAATCAATTCAAAGAAATCAGGGCAAACCTTAAAGGTTGCTGCTTTTAATGCTGAACTAAATCATAAAACATCTTGCAAAGTAATTTCTCAAACAAGCACAAACTCAGAGACAATTGCAAGTGAAAGACCAAGATTTAAAAAAAAAAAAAAGCACAAAAATTGAAAAGGTGTTTCTTGGACAAGTATCTTTTAATAAGTTTTTAATATTAGTGTCTTTTCCTTCATCTGCAGGCACATATCCATTCCGTTTCCTATTCTGCCACTTCTTCCAGTCCATGTTTACATGCGATTTTGAGCACTCCACAGTTTTATGCAGAGCAGAGGTCTCCAGACTAAATGAATACACAAGGCCTTTACAGCAGATGCGCCGTAAAAACAAAGAAATCCCTGTGAGTTTTCGTCTCAAACGATGTAAATGTTGTTTAGGTGGCTAGAGTTGTTTTCGCCAAGAAACAGGTACCTGGTCTGGGGAGATGTTGCCCTCCTCCGCCACCATGGCTCTCAGGCAGGACAGGGAACCAAAGAGAGGTACAGCCAGCCCCACCCGCAGATACCTCTGACCCTTCACACTGAACACCAGCGTCACACACATCGGCCTGTGTAAGGGATAAGTAAAAAAATAGAGGAAGAGAGACAACATGTTAGAGCAAACTGCCAAAGGATTTTACAATTCTGATTTTGAATGTTTACATTAGAGAGTCCAAAAAGCCTGGCATAGAGTTATTTACATATTTGTACGCAGACACACATGTCAGGTGTCACACATATACAGCGTAGAGACATCTCAAGCAAAACAGAGACACTAATGCAATTGTGCAACAAAAGTCACGCTGTCAGTTTGTTAAAGACGTGTACTAAACTGTGTTTACAGCAAAACAAACTATTCAGTACAATAGGACTTTGAAATGCACTTTTGAGCAGTTGAACAGGTTTGCGGACAGATTACCTCAGACAGGACCGCTGTATAAAATTTCATGGACATACACCATCCAATTTAATTGTATCTGAAGCGATTGAAGTATTTTGAAATGCTGCCTGGTTGTTTTATTTCTCCCTCGAGTGTACGCAGATTTATATTTGACATGCCAGGCTAAACCGGCACCTCGGTGACCGTCACCGAGGAAGCTGCTGTGTGCTGGAACATGTCAGATTTACAACAATCTGAACAACTCCTGTAGAGATGCATAAAGGAAAAACACTGGAGACAAAGTAAAGGTCATCCCCTTTCATTTTGGATGAAGGCAGTGTGATTGCCGACACCTCCACTTCCTGTTTTTCCATCATGTATTATTCAGGTGAGTAGTGTGTTAGCAGCGAGGGGGCAGACGGTGCAGAATCTGAGCAGCTGTTTGGTTTACACTGTAGCATCCACCAAGATGAGCCACAGATGTGAAATGAAATGGGTTGTCGGATAACACTGCGGAGGAACAGGAAATAGAGGCCGTCATTTTACAAAGGCTTTTTACAGCACAATGCTGGTTTTGTCCAAATGGAAGATCAAGAGTAATGATCTCTTCAGGTCTAAAACATTAAAAGCACTCTTGAAGATTCATGTTATAGTGAAAATCATGCTCAGGTTTACAGATATAACAAACCCATGCCAATTCTATTGCAAATTTTAGATCAGTTACCAATCATGTATAACTCACATACTGCATTTCACAAAAATAAATCAGTAGCCAAATCTATGAACTTGGCTAAAATAGTTGACCCCTTAGATTGAACAAGTGTGGTACAGTATAGATTCGGTAGCACATCCAAATTTTGAGTTTCCCACATAGGATGAACAGTCTTTCCACAAAATAGTTAAGACAAACAATCAACAGCAACAAGAACAAATGGTGTTCAGTTAAAATCTTACACTTAGTAAGATCAACATGAACAAAACAGATCTGTGGTGACCTGAACAGGGTCTGGCCTGGATGTCTACACGCTGAGCAGCAAGCCAGAAATATAAAGCCAGCAAATGAACACTTAAGACAAAAGCTACTTGGCAAAAACAAAAAGGTGCTCAAAGCAAACATCACTGAAATAACAAGATGGTGTAATACAGGCAACAAAAATTAGTCAAAGCAAGACATGGGAAAATAATAGTCCATGCCTAAAAACCAAGTAATGAGAAGAGGTGAGTCCTTAAATAGTGTTCATTGGAGAAAACAATGAAGAGCATAATCCAGAGATAATCACAAACATAAAGCCATAAACATGCGAGCGTGTCTTCATAGATGAGTGTCCGACAACAAACTAGCAGCTGGTTTAAATGCACAGCCAGATGATTACTGCTTGAGCACATGTGAGTGTAGCGAGCGAGGTGATGCTGGACCGCAACGGAAATGCAACAAAATAAGAGCACGAAACAGGAAGCCAACGAAGATCATGACACCATCATCACAGAAGAGTATTGGAGGCTTATTATAAAAGTCTGCTGTATTCAGGTGCTGGCTGAAAGCTCTGGTGTTAAAAACATGGCTGGGGAACAAAGTGGCTCAACGAATCAACTGGTGAACAGATTTGCTTTCAGAGGTGACATGTTTAGAAAATCAAACATTAGATAAATATATGTAAAAATATTAGTTAAGATAAAATAAGAACAGATAAGAAAAACAAGAAAAGATAAGATAAGATAAACCTTTATTAGTCCCACAGTGGGAAATTCACACCAATACAGCAGCAAGGGGACAAAAACAGGCACTCATTGTTAACAAATCAAAAAGTAACAGACAGGTTATTATTAAGATTAATATAAAAAAAACCTTAGTTATAATAATAAAAAATAAAAATTAAGACATATTGCACAATGCTTGCTGTGTATTCAGTTATTCAGTCTGTGGGTGTGTGAGGTCGACTGAGGGTGGGGTTTGGTCTAAATCAAATCAAATCAAATTTTATTTGTATAGCGCCAAATCACAACAAAAGTCATCTCAGGACACTTTACAAAGTAAGGTCTAGACCTTACTGTTATCAATATTATTACATAGGGAAAACCCAACAAATCCCCCTTGAGCAAGCACTTGGCGACAGTGGGGAGGAAAAACTCCCTTTAACGGAAGAAACCTCCGACAGACCCCGGCTCTTGGTGGGCGGCCTTCTGCCTCGACCGGTTGGGGTGAGTGGATAGAGGAGAGACAAAAGAAGAAAAGCAACAAGACACAACAATCAAACACTGATCAGGTCGATGTGGCCGGTGACTGCTCGTCAGAGACATAGAGCTCCAGGGCCAGGGCAACCTGCAGAAAGGTACAGGGAGAGAGAGAGAGGACACACTACGGGAGAAAGGAGACACAAAGTTAGTAATGTGTAATAGTGGCAAGCTAGTGGCAGAGGTGCATGCGCAGACAACTGGAGTTATGACCTGGTCTGAACAGCCAGATTTTAAATCAT